ATGCGCTTGTTCGAGGCCGCGAAGGGACATCCATCCATCTCTATCCCTCGACTCTCGCTGGCTGTCAATCGAGCCCTGTATCACCGATACGACCTTACCATCGCCTCCAGGGGGCAAACCGAGCGACTCCGAGCCTGTGCAGGCGTAAAAACGCTGACAGTACAGGCGGTACGCACGGCTTGCTGGCGACTGGTACTTCCATCGCTGCGCTGGCGGCTGCAGAGAGCAGAAGTACCTCCCTTTCCGCCGTCTCTTTTTTTCTTGTCGTTGCGGTCCGTCGATACATCTTCTCGCTCCCTCCCAGGTCTGCGATCTTATCTCTCTCTCTCTTTTCCTTTTCCACCCATTCATTAAACGGCCGTCTCTCGCTCTGCCTACCAAATCAACCCACACTCCCCCCCCCCTCCCCGTCCGTCCCCTTTATCCAACCGCCCTTGCGCTAGCCCGTTCTCTTACATATATCCTCAGTCCCTCTCCGCCTCTCTCTCTCACTCTCTCTGCTCCTCATCCTGCCCTCTCCTCGTCTCTCTCTGCCCATCCGCGACTCGACTGCTTCCTTGGGCTGGCCCATCTCATATCCGCCGTCTCATCCCCCGTCTCATCATCCCCGAACAGCTCTTGTCCGCTTGCAAGGCTGAAGGCTGGGCCTTCTCTGCATCTCTCTGACTGCTGAAACCACTCCGGAACTTGAATCAAGCCCGGTCTGCCCCCCTTGAGTACGCTACACTACGCCGTGCCAACGTTGGGCCTTCTATCTATTCACCTACGTTTCGCCTTTTGTCTGTCATATTACTTCTATCTTGCTACCTTGATATTGTCTGCGACTGGTGTTTGATCAGGTTAGTCGGCCTTCAAACCGTTTTACCGACCGTTGAGCCAGGTCGGAACTGCCAGCGCTTAATGCTAATTCAGGGCTCTTCAGGTCAGGCACATCACCATGTATCCCCATGGCGCGCCCATGCCGCCTCCCCAGAAGCCAGAGACCTTCATGCTATCAAACGAAGCCCAGCAGAGCCTGCCGCAGGATGTACAGGTCGCTCTACAGCAGGTTGACAACCGTACGACTTTCCCTCCTCTTCTTCATTTCCGTCGGGTATTGGTTGGTGGCAACTGGGCGCTAACTTCTCATGAACAGTCAAATACTTCCTCATCTCCGCTCCAGTAGACTGGACGCCAGATCAGCTCATCAGACGATTCTTGCTACCCACCGGCGATTACGTCTCATGTGTCCTATGGTATGTCATGCTCACTCGCGGCAACTGATTTGCTGGTCGTTAACCCCAGTAGGAACAATCTTTTTCATATCTCCGGCACCGACATTGTCCGCTGCCTCTCCTTTCGATTCCAGGCATTCGGACGGCCGGTGAAGAACACGAAGAAGTTCGAGGAGGGCATCTTCTCGGACCTTCGTAACCTCAAGGCCGGCACCGATGCCTCCCTCGAAGAGCCCAAGAGCCCGTTCCTTGACTTCTTGTACAAGAACAACTGCATCCGAACTCAGAAGAAACAAAAGGTCTTCTACTGGTATAGCGTTCCTCATGACCGTCTCTTCCTCGACGCTCTCGAGCGGGACTTGAAGCGTGAGAAGATGGGCCAGGAGGCTACTACAGTCGCCGTCAACGAGCCCGCGCTCTCGTTCGAGTTCGACTCCTCACAGTCGCTCTACGAGCAGTTGACCAAGGCTCAGCAGGCAAACTCCTCCTCTTTCTCTGCCGCGCACGGCTCGTCTGCGTTCGCTTCTTCCCACTCGGCCTCTCCCATGCCGCGAGCTACCGATTCCATGCCACCACCGCAGATGGCTCCCCCTGCCATCCCCGTCGTTCACGACGAGCAGCAGAACACAATGTACCACGGCTCCGTCAGCAGCGATCCGATGGGCGGTCAGATCGTCAAGACCGAGGCTGATTACCCGCAGTTCCAATACGACCGCAATGGTGTTCCAGTCTCCAAGGTCCACCAGCGCCATACCTCCATGCCCACATACATGGAATACTCGCCTGCTCCTTCGTTCGTATCCTCTCATTACGATGAGTATGCCAACCGTGGTATTTCCTTTGAGCCTCTAACTCCCCCACAGCATACTATGCATCTCACCTCAGAGCCGGCTTACATTGCCAATGAGGATACCGGCCTCTACACTGCCATCCCAGATATCGGATCAGCCTCCTCCTTTAACCCAATGATGCAACTTCCCCCTTCTAACGTTGCCGCTCCTCACTACTCTACCGCTTCAAGAAGCTTTCCTTCTTCCAGCGTCTATTCCGTCATAGAAGGCTCACCGACATACAAGCAGCGAAGACGCCGCTCGTCCATCCCACCAAGCATCACCAACGCTATCACAGCAGCTACTAATAACTTGCATGTACAATCGCATTCCCAGGACATGCATCAGCCTCAAGTCCCGGTCCAGCCTCATGCTGTCCACCGACCAAGCGACCTTCGTCGCTCCATGTCTACCGCGATTGAAGGCGATGCGTCCCATGAAGACTCGCCTCCGCGTGCCATGTACTCTCAGGGCAGTGTTCACCACTCTCGCACTACCACTCCCCTGCCCAGCCTAGAAGAGAACACGCAGGTGTCTGTTCCCATCTCCATGGGTGAGACAACAACCGTATCCTCATTGTCGAATATGGAGACAATTGATGGCACCGACGCTATGCACCTAATGAACGGGCACCAGGGTGATCGGCCCGGTCCCATTCGTCGTGCCAGAAGCGCTACTATGATGGAGCTCGGCCCATATCCACAAAAGTCTCACTCCTGCCCCATTCCCTCCTGTGGCCGCCTCTTCAAGCGTCTAGAGCATCTCAAGCGGTATGTATCTCCGAAGCCATCCTTGTGCCCTGAATATTGCTGACGTATTTCCTACAGACACGTAAGAACACATACGCAAGAACGTCCATACACCTGCCCTTACTGTAACAAGGCATTCTCTCGATCAGACAACCTTGCACAGTATGTATCCCTTTCTTATCTCATTCAATCTAGGTCTGATAGACTAACTATCTACAGGCATCGCCGTGTCCATGAGACGCAACAGTCTTCCAACACCGGCTCTCAGCCTCCAAGCTTCAAGGAGGATGAGCAAGAAAATGACCGCGAACAGTCAGTCGCAGTCAGCCAGCATGAGCAACAACCACAGCAATCACAACAAGTTCCAACTTCCAGTGCGAACTACCTCCCAACTACCGTCGTTAACATGGCCAATGTCACCTCCATGCACTCGATGGGCACCCATTCCAATCTACCATCCATGGTGGCCCCCCAGATAATCCAACCCCAAATGGTCCAACCACAGATGCTACAACAGCAGATATGAAGTTCTTCCCGCCCTCCCGTTCTTCGTTCCATTTATATAAAGTTCATTTAGATTACGAAAATACACCCCATCAGCCTCTGCTTTCTTATTCGCCTGGGAGAATCGTTCTGCATTTGTTTTTTGCTTTTGGTCTTTTTTTTTTTCGACCCTGGACAAACATTCCCGCCTTTTCCCGTCCGGGTGCGCCGTGCCATACCACGGTTTATATATACGCTCTGGGCTATCATGGAGTTCTGTTAAACAGTCCCGGTTAATATAGAGACAGGTGTTCTCGATGCTTTTGGCCCGTCATGATTTTATCATCCTCTACCTACCTTATGTTGCAACGTCATAATCTCGTGGGGTTTCCTTGCTTGGATCCTACGTTTCCCTTCCCCGTTCTGTCTCTACATGTTACAGTCTTACCTGTGCGGAACCCCCTTACCTCGTTCCAGGACTGAACAACTCAGGGTACTCTTCCGCCTAACCCTTTAATAATGTCTTTTCCTTCCTGTATATTTCCTATCCTGTCCGATGCATACGGTGTCCGTCCCCACCGCCAGAGTCCGTTTTGTCTGATTTTATCAAGTTTTTAAGAAGAATTTTGAATTGTTTGGCATTGTTTTCTTTCCCTGCATCTGTGAGTGTTTCTTTATAAAATGGAAAGATAACAAAAAAAGTGAGGATAGGTGATGGTATGAAGGAAGAAAATGGGCTCCCCCTTGTTTGTTCTGTCTTTTTTAATATTACTCTCCTTTTCATCTGGAAGGATGGGCAGTGGTTTTGCCAGGGAATTGGATATAGGACATGTCTGTTTTCTTTCTCATTTTAATATGCTCTCCTTAATTATAGTCTCTGTGCTAATAGACCTATTTCATTTACCATTATTCTCTCATTCTTCCTCTACTTGGGTATCACTTCTCTCTCTCCTTTTCCTTTATATATATATTCCTCGACGTTGACGTGCACCGTTCTGATATTTGTTAGCCTCGTCTCCTTTTTCCTTTGCTTGCTGCTGTCTCTCAGTATAACTAGCTATTCAAATTACCCTAGCTCGTTAAATGATAATTCTGATAATATAGAGCCCCATTCCTATATGAACCTATATGAACTAATACGAACCGATGGCATACTCCGTACTAATGCTATAATATAACGGGCTTCTCCCGTCTTATATCCTAGCCGTAACTATCACCCGACTGCCGTTCCTCACCTGGAACCGCTTCAACGGCGTCGGGTTGCATCTCACTCCTGGCAATATCCCTGTAGATATCTCCGTAAATATTCATCTCCACCATATAAAATAATAAAATTGACCCAACAAGCACCAACGGAGTCCTCTCTTCCCGCCATCTTACCTATAGTACGGAGCCCTTACACTTAGTGAGGCACTTAACCTCTAACTCTGAGGATATCCGCAGCAATTTCGCTGCGTTGTATATATACGAGGCCCTGCCCACCACACCTCCGCCCAACACCAACACCGGGGCCTAGAATCACGGACTGTCCCGTATTCAAACGATCAACTGGATAACCTGTGCCTTTAACTGCCTGAGACCAATTACACTAAGGCCCCCGTCGCCTCGTCTAAAGGTCAAGAGGGCCCGTCGAGTTATGGCTGCTTCAGCCGCGGCAGGTACAGGTACCTCCCGTTAGGCTTCATGGATGACGCAGCGCTGCAACTTTCTTTGCGCTGGGCTGGCTAATGGACAGCAAAGGCTGGAGGACAAGACGTGGCTTTTGGGTTAAGCCCATTCTCGCCATGGCTGAGCGTAAGACTTCTGACTTCGGCCTCATGACCCTCTGCTGCTTCAGAAGGTGAAAAGTAAGCGTGTGGAAAAAAGGGGTTGCGGTAGAACTTCTTCTCCAGAGCTTGCTTGATATATGGCTCTTCCCGTTTCTTGAAAGCTCGCCTCCGCGGACTATCCGGCCAACTAACGAGTGCTCTCAAACCTGCTTTGCTGCTTCGGAGCTGCGTTGCTATTTCGGAGCTCTTGTCCATGGCCGTTCATGCGGCTCGGCCGTACATCCGCTTTGATATACCCCTTTAGAGCTACATACATCTTCTTTCCTATATCGTCATGGCCTATCCGGGAGATAGGGAGGATAACAGCACATCGCCTCTCCTGGATGATCCCGAGAGACGGTCCGGGGAGATTTGGGATGATGCTGCCGCCGTGGCCAAACAGGCAGAGAAAGAAGAGGAGGCTAAAAGCAGCTGGTACTTGTTCCTATTAGCTCTTAGCATCGGGGGGTAAGTATCTAGTTCAATATCATCCCCGTACAACAGCTAATGCATGTTTAGGCTGCAGATTGTATGGTCGGTTGAATTATCAAATGGATCCGTGAGTACATATCCATGCATCCTGTCTCCCTTGTATAACCATGTCCTTTCTTATGGTTTGTATTTGTCAGATGACCTCTAGCTAACGTGCCATACAGCCGTATTTACTCTCACTTGGAATGAGCAAGTCATTACTTGCCTTTGTATGGATTGCAGGCCCCTTGACTGGGACCTTGGTGCAGCCCTACGTTGGAATCAGGAGTGATAACTGCCGCATTAGCTGGGGAAAACGAAAACCCTTTATGATCGGAGGGGGCATTGCTACTGTTTTCTCTTTGCTGGCACTGGCATGGGTAAGGGAGATAGTAGGAGGAATCCTATCACTACTTGGAGCACCTCCTGAATCGTCCGGGGTCAAAGTAACCGTCATCGTGGTGGCGACTTTACTGATGTACTGCCTTGATTTTGCTATCAACACGGGTATGTACGCAACGTAGTAGTTGACAACTCAATACCCTTGCATACTAATTTGAACTGATAGTACAAGCGGCAATTCGTGCTTTCATAGTTGATAATGCCCCTGCACATCAGCAAGAAGCTGCAAATGCATGGGCAAGCAGACTGACAGGCATTGGAAATATTGTGGGCTACATATCAGGCTATCTGAAACTCCCCGAGATATTCCCTTTCTTCGGAGATACTCAGTTCAAAGTTCTTTGCGTGATTGCATCCTTGTGCCTGGGGTTTACACTCCTGGCCAGCTGTTCATACATCACCGAGCGTGACCCACGGTTAGAAGGGCCCCCGACATCAGAGAACCCAGGCGTCCTTGCATTTTTCGTGCAGGTGTTCAAGTCGATACGAAGGCTACCTCCCCGGATTCGAAAGGTCTGCGAGGTCCAGCTCTGTGCATGGGTTGGCTGGTTCCCGTTCCTGTTCTATTCAACTACCTATATCGGACAGCTCTATGTCAATCCCATATTTGACCAGCACCCTCACTTGTCCAAGGAGGAGATAGATGCTGTCTGGGAAAAAGCAACTAGAATAGGTACTTTAGCCCTTTTGATATACGCCATCACCTCGTTCGTAGGAAGCATTGTCCTGCCCCTGGTGATTGTGCCGGGTTATCGACCGCCGGTTGCATCAGAAGCGAGCTCCCCGCCCCAGAACCGGCCATATTTGAGCAATCGACCGTCGACATCGACGCTTTCTTTCACCGCGTCAGCTGGTTCTGCTATCGAACCGGCCGTTATCGAGCCAATCCATGATCCCAGCAGGTCGGATGAACGAGGATGGGGGAGGTGGTCATCCATCCTCTCCAAACTGCAGGTTCCCGGTCTCACTCTGCGCAAGCTCTGGCTCATCTCGCATATTCTCTTCGCACTGTGCATGTTTAGCACGATCTTCGTGTCGTCGCCGGCAGCTGGAACAGTGGTGATCGCAACCGTTGGCCTATCCTGGGCCCTCACTCTCTGGGCCCCCTTCGCACTTATCTCTGCGGAGGTAGCACAGCGTGATGCAGCACACAGACGGCAAAGACGTTCGCTCCGGCCTCGGACAGCTTCAGATCCTGCTCCTATTGGCCCTCGTCCACGCCCTTTGCAATCTGATGTTGGAGCCCATGAAAGAGACGTCGAGGAAGAGTCTAGTGCTAGCGTGGTTGACCATGATGCAGGAGATAAAGATGAAACAGTCGACCAGGCGGGGATTATCCTGGGAATCCATAATGTCTCGATTTCGTGTCCGCAGATCGTATCGACCCTGATCAGCAGTGTTATTTTCAAGGCCCTCCAGAAACCGCGGGGAGCAGCCTGGGATGACAGTGTTGGATGGGTGCTTCGGTTCGGGGGATGCGCTGCCCTGGGAGCGGCATGGTTCACTAGCACGATGGGTGACGGGCCTTCCCAGGGCACTGAAGACGAGGCCGTCTAGAATATTCCTGTTTCCACTTCATGGATGTTTTCCAAGGCAGCGCTTGGTTAATGCTGATCCGTATGCCCTGATTTACCATTTTCCATGACCAAATTGGTAGTCAGACAACAACTTTTGACATGGTCATTGCTAGATACAGGTAATTGATATTTGATAATTATATACTCTGTATAATACCATGAATACAGTTTCTGAGGGATTGACCATCGTTTGCTTCCAGCCAAGTTTTCTTAATAGTTACTGCTCTATATACATGAGTTGGGGCGGGCATCTGCCTTTGGAATCGCCCCTGTGGTTGAATGACAACTAGATATCAGCAACTAATTGATATACATTCTAGCCATTAGACGGGCCATCTCCTTGAATAGTACCCGCATCACAACATCCGTGAAAACCTGCTGGTATCTCCGTCATCGATTATTGGTATTTGCCATGAACTCTGCGAGGAGCCTGTTGACGACCCCTAGCAACAAGTCGACTCGGGAGCAGAACTCTTGGTCATGTTGCTGTATAGTTACTCGACATGCGCTGTATCGATGCCGTTTCTATCTGATTCAAGGATGTTTCGTTCAGCTACGAGTCTAGCAGGGCCCTGTCAGCTGGCTAGTTAGTTAGTTAGCTAACTAGTTGGTCTTCTGTGGCGTGAGGACTCTGCTGCTGTCTTACTCCCCCTTTTCGTTATTATTGAGCCAGGCCGGTTGACAACCAAAGTCGCAATTAACTAGCAGATGCTGTGTAGCTCTCAGCTCGGCGCCAGCAGTGCTTCGTTACACTGTGCTATGCAGTTCCTGCGCCCGAGCGAGTACATCCGATGCTCGTTGAGAGCACAAGCGGGTCATGCATCTGGATGTCACGTCTTACAGCATATCGGATCCCTCGGAGTAAGCTATTTATTCGTTTATTTTGGCGTGCGAGGGAGAAACTTCAATACCATGCCCTGGGTCTAGGTCAAATACCCCCTACATATACATACCTGCTGATTCCTCAGTGGTAATCCCAGGTTGGCCTGAGGATGAGCTCACCGTTGGTTGTGCTACACGGATCTCGGCTAGACTCCAGATGGGCCTGTGTTGATGTACAAGACCTCAACCGATATCAACCAGCCTGACCACATACTTGCCTTATGACCTTTGGATTAATTTATGGCATACCAATGCGGCGTATGGTTGCTACCAGACATGATTCCAACATCTCTTTCCGCCTTTCCCACCCCCAGCCGTCGGCTAATGCTAGACCGTTGAGAGCATCCCAATGACAGCCTTGTGACCGGCGTACTGCAAATGGATGTTAAGCGAGAAAGATTTGGCATATCATGAACTCGTTCAATGCAGCCTTCTCCAGTCTGTATGCCTAGATCAATCTTCTCTGCGGTCACAAGGGATGCCTCTTATTGCGGAGAGTCGTGATATCCAAGCCCGAAAGAATCAATATAAAATCAAGGAATAAATCCACGTCTGAAACTCTCAATTCGGGATAATCAAACCTGACTGCTTCCTTGAGAATAAACCAAAAACAGCATACCCATCATGAAGTTTATTTACCTTGCTTTACTGAGCAACCTCCTGAACTCGCCTTCCTTAGCCCACTCTGCTAATGTGGCTGTAAGGAAGATTGGGAAGGACGCTATAATTAAAGACAACAAGGTTACGTGGATGGGAGAAGATGGCTTTCAAGATAGCTTTTCATGCCCAGATACCCATGTCCTCCAACCAAGTGCTGACCAAAAGTCCGCTTCCTGCTGCTTGCCTGGCCTAACTCTCAAGGGCAGTTCTACCACGTCGTTTGACTGCTGCGCTGAAGGTCACGATTTAGCTGGCTCTGAGGCTGTCGGCTATATCTGCTGTCCCACTGGACAGATCTACGATGGGAAGGTTTGTAAGAACGGCAAACCACTCGTAGAGGGTAAATGCGCTTGCTCCGAGGATAAAAATGTGACCTCCGAGGGATGCTGCGAACCTGAGGAATGCTCGTCCGGGCTAAAAACCGGTAAGTGATAGTCTCCTGTCAGATACTATAAATACCATAAAACTCACCCTTCTAGGAAAATGCTATACATTCAAGGAGAGCAACGGCTACCTTCTCGGCTACCTCCGTACTGGGAAATACTATAATGCAGCTCCAGATAGCAGAGATCGCATCTTTGGAAAGTTCCAGCTCTGCAGAGACCAGTTGTGTAACCCGGGACGCCCTATCAACGCCGGAGACGAGCTTTATATCAAAGACCTCCACGGAACTCCTATGGACGGAGCAGATGCAGGCCAGTGGATGAACAATGCAGCTGACGGGCCTCATATCGGCAAGACCCCAAATTTTGCGATGGCGGGCAGATTTGCAATCACCAAGTGGCCTTGCGGCAAATATTGCATTACAGGGGCTGAGCTAGGCCTTGGACCTGCATGTCCGGCGGATCAACCCGCTCTTACGTTTTACACGCGGTCTTCTGAGCCATGCGTCCCATATGAACTTACGGAGGTTCCATGCAGCGTGAGAAGTATCAAAAATAACTGCATCTGGTACAATGGCAAGGACCAATGCTGTGACAAGATTGACTGTTCAGAGAGAAAATGCCACAAATAAGTGGGCCTCTAGTCACTTTCGCTTTCGGGTTTATTTCTTTCGGGTATAAGGCATTTTCTGCTTCACTGGTTATTTCAAGTCGGGCGGGTAGTCACTTGGATAGGCAATGAATATGTGCTTCAGTGACTCCTTGTTTGGTGGGCCTGCAGTGACTCAGTCGAGAGGCTCTATATAAGAACGACTCCTCGCCGTGGTGCCTGTGTAGCAGC